TGTGTGTGTGTGTGTGTGTACACATATGTACATGTGCAAGTGTGTGTGTGCATGAGCATGTGTGTGAGAGCATGTGCATGTGTGTTTGGACACATCCTGAGATAAAACAAATGAAAAATATTGGTAACAAAATAACTATAATATCATAAAATATTTTACCTCTAAATTCCAAACTCCCTACTTGGAATTAATGATCGGTCTTATAAGAATAATTTACAATAAAATTGTACCCCTCCTCCGTTTACAAATTTGTCCACTAACAATGCAATTCAGGTGGCACCTACCTAAACTCTCAAAACTGCTCTTCCACTATGCTACACAGAGAACCTTGTGTTAAATCCCCTCCCATCTAAATTGACTATATAAAAGAAACAGAGAATGAGTAAAAACAAAGACAAAACTATGGTCAAATTCTTATGTTGATCGACCTCTTCTACTAAATATTTTGCTATACTGATAAACAGTAAATGAAGGATAAATAAAATATAAGAAAACAATAACAAGAGAACTAATAACAGTAAATCATAATAGCAACCTGAACATTTGATCATCACTGACAATTGTTCAATACAACTATCAGTTACAATATCTGAGAAAGAACAGTATTAGAAAGTGTTCCTGAACAAGAAGTAAAAGGTTGAAGAATAGAATAACATTTCAAGTAACAACTGTTATTAAGATTATCTGTGTACACATGTAGGTACCAATTGTTTGAGGATGTGTGCCACTAGTATGAGAAATAGCAATTAAAAATAAAAGGAATCTGAGCTAAATGGTTTACAAACAGTTTTAAATAAGGGCAGTGTATGCTGAGAGTGTACTTTTGTGAATAAGTATAATGGTATAAAATCTGGTGTAGTTGTAGAGTACATCCTAAAATACAAGTAGTAAAAGGATAAATATTGGTGAAGGTATAGGAACCATGTGAGGTGTAAACCTGTCTGCTTACAAAAAAAAAAATACATAAGAAAAATAAGGTTCAAGCTAAACTGAAAAAAAAAAAAAAACATTGAAGCATAAGATTCTGTCCTTTCCAACTATGCTATGGCTGCTAATCTACCTTATGATGGCGAACTGGCTGACAATGTAACCCACACGCAAAACTTTGGGACCTCTTGTCTTCAAGAAAAATTAGAGTCGGATTCAACTGGATCCTGACTGTCACAACAACATGTTCCACATTATGTTACAACCAAAGATAATGAGTATGACAACCAACAAAGTGATCTGTAAAAACTTGTTATGACATTGACTTGGCATTAACATATACAATGTATACGTATTACAGTAAGAAACAGTTTCATTATTACCTGATAAATTATAGAGCCCAAAAAACTTTGGTAAAATGTTCTAGGATTCTGTTCAGATTCTGAAAAGAAAAATAATTTCATTAGACAATTTTATATCAGCATTGTTAATTAGCATTCTTTGCCTTTGCAAATTGGCAAGTAAAGTAACATTTGTATAACACTAGCCAAACCCCATAAATGGTCACACTTACTATAACACCAATTATGATCCTGGTCACTTTTTCATATCTTATGCTGTGTGCCAATCTGCAAAATCAGTTCAATTTTACTAACTGATAGCATAGTCCAAATTCAAATAAAACTCCAAGGTTTATTGGTTCTTGTAGAAAAACAAAATAATGTCATTGACTGAAACAAGTGTTTAGGGTCTGTGCTATTAATATCTAATACAACAGTTTTTTCCTTATCACAGCAAAATCTCTCCTTGATTTCCAGGGACAGAATGAACAAAAAAAATTGCAATTTGTATAAAGTAATTTTTCAGACACTTGCATGAACATAATCACTACTGATGGCAACATTTTAACCCACTGAGACTGAGAGGGCATTCATTCATGCCTGACCACCGTAGTTTTAGTTTATAACACCAATGTCGACGGGAAGATGTGTGTTCCCTTTGGCAATGCTTGGTTAAATGTTTTTGCACATAGATGGCTCTGCCAACAACGGAATCAACTAGTAGATCTTGCAACCTCACTTTCCTTGAAAAAGCGGGAAAATGTTTTTTTTTTTTTTTTTTAACTGATGTTGTCAATATTTTTGTTATAAACATTATAATTAATATATTGTTACTGACATTACTAACAGCACTATCAAATACTAGAAAATATTATCGAAAATCAAGGAAAAGGGTAAACAGGTGAGACAGGTAGTTTGCGTAATTGGCTCATTGGTGACAGCACTTGTGGAGCCATCTATATGTAAAAACAATTACAAAATTTAACACACATAATGTGTATGGCATGTACGTACATGCCATGCCCGGCAGCTTGGGGTTAATTTTGTTTAAACATAAATAGCTCTACAACTGCTTATTCACTACGGAGTCAATTACTGAACCCAGAAGTTTCCATTTTCATTACCATTAATATCATTACAAAGGTTATAATAACGATAATGTACATAAAAACAATACTCATAATATCATTAGTGACAATAACAAATGACAAATAAAAATAGTATTCATAAAA